GTGGTTGCTGGGGGCCTGGCTGCCCCGGGGGGGGTGGCGAGCGGCAGGGCAGTGGCGCAGCCGCTCACCATCTCCATCCCGTTCTTCTTCATGCGGCGGCAGGACTTGAGGTAGGTGCGGATGCGCTTGCGTGCCCGCTCCTGAAACTCGGGGAACTGCCGGCTGCAGGACTCGATGATGGCCTGGATCTTCTCCTTGGGCTGCTTGGAGATGGGAACCATCCGGTCCAGGTTCTCATCCACGAAAAGGCGCACGAACATCTGCAAAGGAGAGACAGACAGTGGGAACACCGAGACGGGAGGCGGGCGGGCTCACCCTCCCTGCGGAGCCCTCCTTACGTTGAAGGCCTTTAGCCTCTCCGGGTCCATCCCCTCCGAGTCATTTATCTTATCATTGTCTTCGTGGTCATCGTGGTCATCATCATCTTCGTCAGCCGTGGGGGCCCTGCCAACGGTCAGGTCCTCGGGGCAGCCGCTGACCTCTGTCTTGATGGAGTCGTAGCTGCCAGAGCTGTACGGAGGGGACTGAGAGGAGACGGGGGTTACCGCGAGGAGCCCTCGCCTGCCCGCCCCTGCCCATGGTCACAAGGAAAAAGCCCTTTCTCCTTGGCTCACTGCTTCTGGCCCATCTCCTGATGTCGCCCTGCAACCTAGAGATGAACCCGCTGACAGGCTCCTCCTAGTGCCAGCTCCTGCCTGCTCAGGGCAGGGAAGGACTTGGCGGCCTCAGGGACCGTGCGATGGCCCAAAGTGCAGGCAGCGCGGCTCTGGCTGGTGGGGGCTGTGGCTCTGCCTGAGCCTGCAGGAAACACTGCCCGGACCCAGTGGCAACAGGCTCCTCCTTGCATGGCAGCAGCGGCCCAGCCGGTCGGGGGTGAGGAGAGCCCACTGCAGAGCCCCGGCTCTGGGGCAGGCAGGGCACGGGGGATACTCCCTGGCTCTCCCAAACCATCCCTCCTTCTCTCCCTCCCTCTGCCAACTGCTCGCTCGGCGCTTGGGCCGATTTCTGCTGAGCAGCAGCAGCCCCAAGGCTGGAGTACGGCCAGGCACAGCTGCTCTGCTGCAGCAGCGGCGGGCGAGCATGGTGCTCGTCCGTCCTTCCCTCCCTACAAGGGAAAGGCTCCCAGCCCTGCCACCCCCCCTGTGCTTTCCTGGCACGAGGGCAGGAGCTGCATCCCTGCCTGGCCTCGGGCACCTCACGTGGGGTTGCTCCCAGTGTGCCATGCCCTGCACCAGCTCCGTCTGGGGATGCGCGGCCGCCCCATCTCGCCCAGCCCCAGCCCCAGCAGCGGCCACCTGCAGCCTGGGCCATACCTCTGCCGTGGTCTTCACCGCGTACTTGACCCTGCTGCGCAGACCGTCGGCGCTGCAGCTGTCCGACTGGTAGGAAGGGGTGACGTGGGCAGGCGCGAGCTTGTCGCAGAGGTTGATGGGCTGGTCATCGGCAGAGGCGGTGAAGTCCATGGGGGCCGCGGTGCCATTCCCGTTCATTTCGGGGAAGGTGCTGTCGCCCTGCGTGCTGCTGGATGTGGAGGGGTTCAGGGTGGAGGAGCCATTCCCGCTGCAGCTCTCTGATGAGGAGTCATCTGCAAGGAAGGACGTGTGGTCACTCCCGTGGTGCCCCGGGACCATGTCCCCGAGGCGGGCAAGCGGCTCTGCCCCCCGCGGTGCCAGCCTTCCCCAAGCCCGCCTGCAGGACCACTGTGCACGTGCAGCACAGATGCGCTGCTGCTCTGAAAGCCCCTGTGCAGCCGGGGCTGCTCTGGGCTCACTTGGTGGGGGAGTCACCGCGGGCGCTGCTGGGAGCCGGGCCGGCACAGCCGCGCTTTGGGCCCTGGGATGCAGCAGCTGGAAGGACAGATGCCGGCGCCTGCGGCTGCAGGGCCATCGTCGCACGGCTCCGCTCCCTTGCCCCAGCCACCAGTCCCTCCGGCAGGTGATGGTCCCCGCGCCTCCGCCTGGGGCCGCGGCACCTGGGCTTGAATAAGAACTTTGGAATTTGGTCCTTTTCGGTTTCTGTTTGCATTGCAGGGAGGAGAAAGGGGCATTGCCTCTCCCAGCTGGATCCCTTGCCTGCCCGCGTGGTCCTCCTGGCCCAGTGTGGGGCTGGGTGTGGTGGGAGGCGACGAGCTCCAGTGCCAGTGGCTCGAGGACATGCTGCTCCACAGAGCACTGGGGCATGGGGACAGCACACGAGGACAGGCTCGCTTGGGTGGGAAAACCCTGAGTTCATGCCACCTGGAAGCAGCATTAGGAGCTCTGTTCACAGTGGGCATGCTGCCCAGCAAGGCTCCTCAGCACGCTGCTGCGGAGAGGGAGCAGGGGCTGCACGGATGTCCCTCCTGTCCCACTCAAAGCCCAAGTGACCTCCTACACCCTACGTGGACACTCCTGCTTCCCTGTTTCCACGTGCCCCAGAGCCATCCCCACAGCAGCTGCATGGCCACCCCTTTCCCCCACCACCCGAACAGGGAGAGCCCGCGGCCTGGGGGCCCGGCCACGGCATTGCCACACACACCCGGCGCACAGCCTGGCTCCTTGCTCGGTCTCGGTTACATTCACACCCCCAGGTCCATGCACCATCCCCCTGCCCGTGCACGGCTCCCACCGCGCCAGCCTCCTGCCTCGTGCTGCTCTGAAGAACAGCCCGGCCACATCAGAGAGCCTGGCCCTGCCTGCACCCAGCCAAAAAGCCCAGCCCCGGGGCCAGGCGCGACATTTTCAAACTGCTCAGCCTGTTTCCCCTTCCCTCCCCCTCGCTGCAGTAAATCCTTTATTTCATTAGGTGCCTCCGCGAGAGGGAAAGGGTGAAGCACGTGGGGAGCCGCTTCCTGCGCGAGCGTGCGCCGGGCGGCGAACAAAGAAGCTGCCGGCAGCGACTTTTTTTTTGCGACAGGAAGCGGGGGCTCCCCCCAGCCGGCCTGCGCCGCTGCGGGACAATGGGGTCAGGCTGCGGGGCGGCCCCAGACAGCACCGACAGCTCCTGGTGCATGGGTGCCAGTTCCAAAGGTGTGCGGGTGCGGGGCGGCGGGACAGTGCCCAGCCGCTGCCATCCACCCTCCTCTTTCCTCCCCCCGCCGGCACCCACGGGAAACTTTAATGAGAGGCTCGGCGAGCGCTCCTGTGACCCTGCAGCAGCCCAGGACTTTGTATCCCTTAAAATAAACAGACTTGAGGACACTCGGGCATCCAAGCCGACCGTGGGGGCCGGCTGGGGCTGCCGCCACATGTCCCCAGCCGCCCTGCCACGGGCGCCAGCACTCGCTGCCCAGCCTTGCGCCTGTGCCAATGCTGCTCCTGGCCCCGTGAGCCCCCAAATTAAAAGGTCCCCACTCGAGCTCCCTGCTCAGCAGAGCTCCCTCCCCCTCCTTTCCCTTGCGCTGATCCACTTACTCGTCTGAGCAATGACCAGAGCTGACCTAATCCCGGGGTGGTGTTTATGTGCCGGGTGCTCCCGGCCGGTGGCAGGCATCACCCTCCCCAGCACGGGGCTGGCTCCAGGCAGAAGCCCTTGCTCCCGGCCAAGGCCGAGCGCTGGCTCTGCGTGCCGGGGAGTGCGGGGCTCCAGGGGAGCTCAGCAGCCAGCACTACCCTGGGGCACCCTCCGAGCCACACCTCAGGACCAGCTCTGGTCTCCTGGCCCCATGCTGCAGCAGTGGGGCTCCGGCAGGCGGCTGCAGCCTGGACCACGGCAGCAGGGCATTTGCTGCTGGCTCAGCCCAGCCCGGAGGGGCAGGATGCCGGGGGCACTGCCACCTCCTGCACCCACGCCCCTCCTGTCCCAGGGCACTGGAGGCTGGTGCTCTCAGGCCCCCGCGGGTTTTCCTCTCCAGCCCAGCTTGCCCGGCTCAGCTCCCGCATCAGCACATGCTCCTCGAGGCTCTGTCCCGGCCAGGCTGCTGTGCCTCTGCCCCACGCACGCCTTGCCGGGACGTGCGGCCAGACCCACCGTCGGCACTCTGTGCCCTCGGCGCGGGCACAGGAGCGGTGCTGGCTCGGCTGCGGCCCCGTGCAGCAGCGGGCAGGTGGCTGGGGGTGCGGAGGCCTCCCTGCCTGTGGGATGGCGGCCGTCCCTCCCCCTGCTCCGCTCTCCCCGCCAGGCGAGACGGGGCTCCCAGAGGGAGGCTCCAGCCTCATCCAGTGATGCCTCTCAGAAGGATTAAGGAGAATTATTCCCATGCACGGAGGCACGAGCCGCACACCAGCCCCCGCCGTCAGCCTGGGCACAGCCACAGCAACAGCACCGTGCCACAGGGCCAATCAGCACCTGTCCCGCAGGCGCCTGCACAGAGAGGGGGCCGGGGGCCCTCCATGCCACGAAACCCCCTGCCAGGCAAAGGGGTCCAAGAGAGGTGACGCACCTAGGAGAAGACTGTGCAGGTGCCCTGAGCATCCCCAGTCTGCCCCATCACATCCCCAACCTGCCCTGGGCATCCCTGCATTGCTCTGAGCATCCCCAATCTGCCTTGAGCACCCCCAGTCCTCCCTGGGCATGCCACTCTGCCTTTGTCCATCCAATTGCAGCCTCCCCGTGGCCACCAGCTCTGCCCCCGGTCCCTGCAGCTCCTGTCCCCGTCGGCGCTGCCAGTCCCGCTGGGCAGGGTCCTGCGGGTGAGGTCTGGACCCCCCAACTTCTCAATGTCTCCTGTTTTGTGTTGCATGAAACACACACAGCAGCTGCAAATCAGGTTTCTACCCAACTCTGTTGCATTTACGAACCTTGGGTTTACTACAGCCAAAACCTATTGAAAACAAAGAGGAAGATGTGTCTAGGAACCTGTCCAGGTGGAATAAGAAAATGAAATGGGAATCTAACGTAAGGGACCAGCACCTACTGCAAGAACAATTTCATTTAAACCAAGGATGAACATAAGTAAATAATGAGGTCTGTAAACCCGCTAGCTACAGATAATTTTCTTATTTCTACATTTTTACAGGTTATGCTTTCCCATAAGCTCCACATATAAAGTGGTGGATTAATTGCAGTCTTGTGGGCAGAGAAACAGCCACAAATTCAGATTGCCAATATCCTTGGGTCCGAACGGGAATGGCTTCGGCCAGCTTAAAAACGCAGATGGGCTCGGGAGGGAGCGCTGCGCTCTCCTGGTTGGCGCGGATGGGACGGGATGGTGCCAGTGCCGGTGCCAGTGCTGCTCCCCAGGCAGCTTCGCCGGGGCATCTCCAGCCTACGGTCAGCCCTGACCAGTGGCTGGGGCACCCACAGCAAAGCGGGACCTGGGGGAAAGAGAGCAGGAGCCCTCCCACCTTGGGTGCCGGGACTTGGTTTAGGCTCCTGCCCTGCCAATGACAGCTGTGGCAGGACGCCGAGGAGTGGCAGAGCTGTGTTGGCCACGCTCTCATAGCATCACTGTTTTGGTAAAACCCACCGAACTTCTGAGCTTGGAGAGGTTTTCTGCAGACTCCCAGCAAGTGCCCAAAACACATGTAACGAGCAGGGCTTTGGCAGCAGCAGGCGAGCAAGGCCAGGCTGCGCAGCCATGAATATATTCATTATCAACCAGCACGAGCCTGGTGAGCTCCCTGCTCACGGCTGGAGCTTGGCTGTGTGAGGAGCCCCTCTAATGAGGATAATTGGGAGCCCCCCTGCTCCACCCCCGTGCCCTAATTGAAGCAGGTGGAACTGTAAAAACAATGTCACTTCTAACTGGTTTGATCTTTCGGTCAGAAAATGGAATATTTGATTCTCCTGTTTAATCCCCTGGAGCCAGGGCTCTGCGGGCTGGAGGTGGAGGAGACCCTGGCACCACACAGGGGATGCCGGCAAGGCCGGAGAGCCCGATGGAGGCCACCCGGCCCCGCGGCTCCCAGAGCACTGCCCTCCTTGGCCCCATCGC